TGTGGAGAGAGCCTGGGATCCCACTGCCTCTGCTGGTTGCTGCTGGCCCCTTGCAGGGCGCATGTAATGTGGCCATGCTTTCACTTGGCAGCAGAGCTGGCATCGGGGCTGGGATGTCATACGTGGGCAGATGATTTTGCCAGTTCACCCGTTAGGCTCCTCAGTGCTTCACAAGCGATGCTTCTAGAGGGCAGCCTCACCTCAGGCCCCAGTGTCCTGCTGGGGACCAGGCTCTGCCCGCGGCCCCGCCCTGGCCTCCTCCAGCCTGAGTCACTGAGTGCTGCTCCCAGAAGCTGCTTTCCCCAGCATGCTCCTCAGGGGGACCGTGGACCCACCTTGTGCACGGCCCCTGCATCATCCTACAGCTCCCTTGAGGGTGGGGATCCGCTGGCTCCTGTGAACACGGACACTGGGGTTCGCGCTGTGCAGATGCTGGGACTGGGAATAAGCCACCGGCAGTGCCCTCTGGGCCCAGGAGGAAGGGCCTTGAGTCACTGGGGGCCGGGGGCTGGGGGCAGAGTGCATTCCGGCACCTTCTCCTGCAGCAGCTGAGAACTGCCAGGCAGGGAGGTCCTGGCGTAGTGTCTCTGCTGCCACTGGGGCACCTTTGTGGGCGCCTTCAGCCCAGAAATGGGGGTGCAGCAGGGGGCTTCTCTGGCTCCTTCTAAGGCACCCCCTCTCCCACGGCCTTCTGCACACGCACCGTGCAGCCTGGGGGCCCCGACCCCTGCTGGTCTGGTGGGCGATGTGCCAGTCTCGCTAGGCGAGAGCTGCCGCCTGCTGCTCTGCAGGCATTTAGCGCCCCACTGCCTGATGTCCCTCTGTCCTTCCTTCACACAAATCCTTAACTCTGGGGCATAAAAGGAACCCGGCAAGCATCCCTTTACCAGTCCTGGCTGCCCAGGCACGTGCCCTCCTGGCTGGAGGCCCACCACTCCTCAGGGCGACTCTGCATTCTCACCAGCATGTCTCATCACATAGGGCTTCCTGTGCAGCCTGCGGGGACTGTGTTCTCTGCGCTCCGCCAGCTCTTCCGGGTGTATGAGCCTCTCGTGCTCAGCACCGGCCCTGCCATGTGCTGGGGCCTCTCCCCTCCTGCTGGCTCCCTGCTTCCCTGCAGCCCTGGTGGGTCCCTTGCCATCAGCAGCCTCTGACTGCTATTTTGTCCAGGTTGCACTCAGTCTTACCCCCAGTCCTGGTGGCACCTGAGTGTATCCTGACGCCGGGGCCTGATCTGCCAGCAGTGGACTGCTGCTCGCTGTCCCCTGCACGGCCTAGACTTCTGCAGCTCACCGAGCATTGTCCCGTGTGAGTAGGTGTCTGCCTTCAGGCTGGCCCTTCCTTCCTGCGGGACAGGTGGCGAGTGCCAGGTGGGATGTACTGCCACCTGGTCACACGCCCGAGAGACTCTGGAAATAGCTGTGCCCAGTCCTGGTTGTGGGACAGGGTCCCTGGCCTCAGGGCTTAGCCCGTACGGCTTGGATCCACTTGTCTGTAAAATGGAGGGACTTAGATTTTTGTCTGTGTTCCTTGCGTCCCTGGGAAGGAAGTGCCAGATGAGGGGTTTGTGGCGGTGTGCGTCTGCCACTGTTGCCTCCAGGGGTGGGGCCCCGTTGGTGGACTCTGCAGCCAGGGTCACACTGTGGGGGCTGCCCAGAAACAAGTCTCCCCTAGCTGTGCTGTTGGAGTGTCGGCCAGCAGTGGCTGGGGACAGGCAGCTGGCCCTGTGCTCTTCCCTGGGCGTGTGGTGTGGCCCGGCTCGTGCCTGTCCTCCATGGAGGGGGCAGTGCTGGGAGGGAGAGGGTGTGTTTGTCGCCGTGTCCCTTGACCTGCCCGTCCCCGTGCCATACTTATGGGCCAGGCTTGGCAGTGACCAGCTGCTTCTTCCAGGAGTGTCAGGTCTCCATGCCCATGCTCTTTCCCGGGCCCTGCAGGCCTGGCCAGGCGGGCTGGAGGGGGAGAAGATGGGCAGAGAGTGGGGTGGAGAGCGCAACTCTGCAGGAGCGGGGCAAAGTGGCACAGAGCCCGTTCAGCTGCCCCCACCGCCTCTCTGCCCTGTGTCCTCCACTGCCCCTTGAAGTCGGTATTCTTAGCCGGGGCATCTTCTAAGAAGAGCACATGAAAGTGGACGCAGCCTGTCACCATCCACAGATGGATTCTTGAAGCTCAGATCTTGTTTGCTTCAGCAGCGCTGCACTCAGAAAGGCCCTGATCGATAAACATGCCCAGCTCTTCCTCTAAGAACTAAGGACTTCATTGTGAGCTTCCAAAGGTTCATGGAAATGCCAGTGGCCGCAGAGCCAAGTTAAGAGTGGAGCTGGAGGTTTAATTTTTTATGAGTTTTCTCTCCTTCGAGAAAGCTGAGGTGCCTGGAGAGAATAGGTTCAGCAGAGACATCTCTGGGGCAAAGGCTGGCTGGGCATGGTGCCCACATTGCCCCTACCCTCCCCAGGGCATGCTGGGGGTCTGGGCTGAGCTGCAGAATTCCTGTCTGGTCTAGGCCCCACACTCGCCACAGAAAGGCCTTTCTGCCACATGTGTTCTGGAAAGTGCCCGGGGTGTTGGGTGGAGTCCTGGGAAGGCAGGACCCTCCCCTGTGGCCTTGGGACTTGGAGCTTCTGGGCCCTTCCTGGAGGTGTCCACGTGTGTACCACCCTGGGCTTCTTTGCTCTCCCTTCCTCAGCTTAGTGTTTCCTCTCCTTGTCGCTACAGTGTGTCCTGAGGTGGGGCCTTCTGACCACTTCTTTTCCTTCCTGACAGCTAAAATGCTCAGGGATTACTCCTGACTCTGCAGTGCTCAGGGGACCGTATGTAATGCCTGGGGTTGAACCTGGGCTGGCAGTGTGCGGGAAGCCTTACGTGTGTTATCCCTCCGGCCCCGACTACACAACTGACTTCTGCTTCACGGTCACCGGTCACATGTGCAGTGACACTCTGTGCCCTCTCCCCACCCTGTCCTCCTGTCTGTCTTAGTGCTCATGGATGGCCTCAGCCATGGGCGTGACTGGGACCGTGTGTGGATGCCCCTGTGCCAGCCAAGCCCCACAGTGCCTTGTTATGTGTTGGTCTGTACCTGCTGGTGTGGATTCCTAGGTAGGCCTTGATGGGCAGTGTTCCCCGTCTGGGTCCCTCTGACCGATTGCCAGAACAGCTGAACAGGGCATCCTGCACAGGCTTCTGTGTTTGATATGCCCATGCTCCGTGGCTACACAAGGGTGGTGGGAGCACTCTGCTGTGCTGGAGTGATAGGGATAGGGAGCACTGTCCCGGAGTGATAGGGGTGAGGAGTACTGTCCCGGGGTGATGGGGATATGGGGAGCATTGTGCTGTCCCAGGGTGATGGGGGTGTGGAGAGCACTCTGCTGTCCCAGGGCAGTGGGCAAGTGGGGGGTACTCTACTGTTCTGGGGTGATGGGGGTATGGGGAGTACTCTGCTGTTCTGGGGTGATAGGGGTACGTGGAGCACTGTGCTATTCTGGGTCAATGGGGGCGTGGGGAGCACTGCTGTCCTGGGTGATGGAGTGGGGAGCACTCTGCTGTTCCGGGGCAACGAGTGAGTGGGGAACACTCTGCTGTCCTGAGGTGATGGGGGCGTGAGGAGCACTGCGCTGTCCCAAGGTAATGGGTGTGGGGAGCACTCTACTGTTCTGGGGTGAGGCGGGCATGGGGAGCATTGTGCTATCCCAGGGTGATGGGAGCATGGGGAGCACTCTGCTGTCCCAGGGTGATGGCGTGGGGAGCACTCCGCTGTCCCAGGGTGATGAGTGTGGGGAGTACTGTGCTGTCCCAGGGTCATGGCATGGGGAGCCCTCTGCTCTCCTGGGGTAATGGGTGTGGGGAGCACTGTGCCATCCTGGGGTGATGGTTGTGAGTTCATGCTGGCCACCCTCCTGCATCCCCACCAGAGCCCATTTCCCAGGCCTTGCATGTTACCTTTAAGTCCCCCCAAAGACAGAGCAGCCCCTCTCTGCTTCCCTGTGTGGCTGTCTGTTGGGCGGAGCCCCTGGGCCCCATGGCTCCATTACCCTTGACTGCTCCTTGGTCCGGCTGAGTCAGCATCAGGGCTTGTGCTCGCTCTCACAGCGGAGACAGTGGAGACCCTCAGAAGGCTGGGGCCTGCCTCCCGCGCATGCCTTGTCTGTGAAACCAAGAACAGCACCGAGCCAGCACCTGTCCAGGTGTCTCTGCTTCCAGAGTCACCTCAGTGTCCTCAAGTCACTGCCGCAGGTGTCCCCTCAACAGCACCCTAGTAGCATTGCCTGGTCTTTACGATGTTAGGGACTTGCCTGGGGCAGTTCCTGAGAAGCTTAATGTATCCTGGGCACACTTAGTGTTTGCTCGTGCCTTGACACCTGCCTTCCTCCCCCTGGGGCCGCACTTGTTGCTGTCCTTCAGGAGACTCATCATGGACCCTCATCTCTGCCCTGGAGGCAGCTCCGAAAGTGCCCGGGGCCCATGCTGAGGGGAGAAGCGCCTGCAAGGAGGGACGGCTCAGACCGGCTCTGAGAGCAGTTGCAGGTGGTGCCAGGGAGAAGTGCTGGGGAGTCAGGACAAGTGCGTTGGGGGAGGTGGGAGAGGGACACTGTGCAGAGCCCACTGAAGTGCCCCTGCTGGCCGTCGAGGCGCTGCCAGACCATCCCCACGCACACTGCACATCTGGTGGAGCGCGGGCGTGAGATGAGCTCATTCAGAACTGCCGTCTCCCCAGACGCGCAGCGCTGGCAATCTTTCCCATTGTGTGTGGAGTTGTGCTCCCTCCCGCTGCCGCCGTGTTCTGGGATCACCCTGGGTGTCTGTGTGAAATCCAGAAACTCCTGAAAGGCTTTAAGTAGCTATTCAGAAATGAGGAAATGACAGGAGCCCCTGCACGTGCGGCTCTATATTGGGGCCCGAGTAGAGGCGTTCTGGTCTGCGGGGGGCCTTCGTGGGGGACTGGGGGTGGGGGGCGTGCCGTCCTGGGGCCCTGCTTATGGCTCTGCCCTCCGGCCCTTTCTTCACAGTGCCCGGGAGCTCGAGAAGGCCCGGCAGCAGCTCCAGGACGAGGTCCGCCAGGTCAGCAGCCAGCTGCTGGAGGAGCGGAAGAAGCGGGAGACGCAGGAGGCGCTGGCCCGGAGGCTGCAGAAGCGGGTGCTGCTGCTGACGAAGGTACCAGCTGGGCGCGGGGGCGGGGAGGACTTGCTTTCCAGGTCAGCGGCTCCCTCCAGCCTGCCTTGTCCTGCCTAGCCCTCTGCTCCAGGGCCCATGTGTGACAAGATCCCACCTGGCCAAGTGCCTGCTCAGCCCCAGTCACTCGTGGTCTCCTTTCCAGTCGTGTCCTGGGCACCCCGCCCCGCCCTCGCCCCCCCCCCCGCCCCCTCAGGGAGTCTTGGCAGCCCAGCCAGACTCTGCGTGTTGCTCCTGCTTGTAGGAGTGTATGGCAATGCCAAGAAGAGTTCCGCAGGCTCCCTTGGCAGGACCTTGGGAGACTGGTGTAGGCTGCCTTTCAGGGGGCTTCTGCACACTGTAGTTTCCGCCCATGGGAATGGGGCTGGGACCAGGCCTCACATGCTGCCTGAGCCTTCCCTGCATGGGGCTAGCTGTGCTGGGTGGAACGCCTCCGTGTTCCCGCCTTCCCCACGGGACTGGTATTCTCATGATTCTGGGCCTGGAACACTGCTGATGTCTGGCCGAAGAGCAGTTTGCTGGAGCATGAGTGAAGGTTTTGTTTGAGAGAGCAGTCTTTAGAAGGTGGCTGTAGAGACAGATCTTACAGGAGCGGGAGGGGAAAGCCGGACTGTCCCCAGATGTTCTCCAGCTGCTTGGTCACCCATCTTAGGGAGAGACCCCCCCCTCCCCCAGCCCCACTGCAAAGCCGTGTCTGACAAATGCTTTCTCAGCTACTCTTCGAGGAGATCCAGGTGCCTCACCTCAGTGACTCCTAGAGGGAGCTTCAAGAAAACAGGAGAGCAGCTTCCTCGCCGTGCCCCCAGGCTGTGCCACACTCCCAGAAACAGCTCACCTTTTCCTGGGCAGCAGCAGGCCCACTGCCATGGGTTTCCCAGGCGAGGGCGTGGCCAGCCTCTGCAAGCTGCCTCGGGGCGATATGGCCCAGGAGCCTCAAGGCCTGACTTCTAGTGCGCTAGGTTGTCTCGGCTTTGTCAGCTCTGAACAGCGTGTGTCTGGACAGCCCCTGCAGGACTGTCTGGTGACCTGCACAAAGCCCGTGGCGTCCTCAGAGTTGTCTATGATGCACCCAGAGGGACTGGGCAGTGAGGCGGTGGACAGCAGACCGTGGCAGCATAGAAGTGCTGTCAGCAGCGGAGGGGGTAGCTGAGACCCAAGCTGTTCTGTCCATGACAGCCTGTGGGGACCCAGTCTTGTTGCAGAGAGGTGTCAGCAGACACGGGGGCGGGGACATGGTTGCACCTGGCTTTAGGTGCTGTGGGAACGGCTGGTATATGCCTCTCTCCGCGGGTACTGTCTCCTGTGACTCCTTACAGCAGATGGACGGATCGACAGACATGCAGACACATGGGGCTGTCCTGTTCTTCTCTGAACATGGAGCTCAAGCCAGATGGTCCCGGGGCTGTGTGGCTGTGCTGGGAGTTCCATGCTGGAGTGGTGTCTGCAGGCTCACGGGTACTCAGGGACGCTGGACTCTGACTTGAGGGGACATAGCCGTACTCTCAGAGGGACTCACTCTCCTGAGTGGGTGCTGGGTAAAGACAGACGCGCAGGGGCCCCTTCCCTGCCCCCCACCATGACCCTGGGGTACTGTCTCAGTGACACCTGCCCCTCAGATTTGGTGCTTAGACTGCTCACGGATGCATGGGACAGAAGTTGGGGGGCCTGGGGTGTGGGAGAGTAGGGGCTGGGGGCTCTCAGCTTTTCTTCCCAAACAGCGGCTCAGAGTCCGTGGGGGTTCTGGGCTCGCATGTGCTGACCGGTGAGGCCTGAACCGCACCTCGCCCTCCTCGCTTACAGCACAGAACTGTGGCCACCTGAAGGCCCTGTGCCACCCAGTCCACCCAGTCCCTCGTGTGTGTCCTGGGCAGGGCCCTTATACCTACTGCCTTCTCCACTCCACGTGGGCCAGCCCCTCCAGACCCCTGGGACCTGTGACTGTGCCCGCTTGGTGGGTTCATACCCGGGGGTGATGGTACTAGGGGCGTGGCCTTAGGGACGGGACACCTGGTGTGCCTGTTGCTTTTTTTTTCTTTTTGGGTCACACCTGGCGATCACAGAGGTTACTCCTGGGTCTGCACTCAGGAGTCACTCCTGGCGGTGCTCAGGGGACCATATGGGATGCTGGAAATTGAACCTCGGTCGGCTTCATGCAAGGCATACGCCCTATCCACTGTGCTATCTCTCCAGTCCCTGCCTGTTGCTTCTTGGTGCTGGCAATGTCCAGGGCTGGAAGCAGTGCTGACCGTGTCTTCCTCGGTAGGCAACTCTAGTTGTCACCCTCTGGTCTCTAGTAACCCAAACACAAGCTCATCCTCTCTGAGCTCCAGACTAACTCAGCTTATCACCCCCATGGCAGAAAATAAATGCATGGAAATCGACTTCTGCTGTGTTGAGTCTGGCGTGAACCACCGGTGGCTCACATCCACATAGGGCAGACCACACATACAGAAATGATGCTTGTTGCCCAAATTTCATCTGACACTTTAGTCCAGCGCTCTGCCTCAAAGTGGAGCATTGCTGATGAAGCCGCAGGATACAGGGAAGAAACAGTCCTTTCCTGGTCCAACAGGACCCCCGCCCCCTTCACCCCAGGCTACCAGCCCAGGTGCTTGAAGTGCCCCTGTGGGGTGGTGTCATCTGCTCTGGGGAAGACTGCCCTGCTCTGTTGCCGCAGGGCTCTTACTCTCCTGCCTGCCCTGCTCGGCCCTGAGAAGCCCACTGTCCACCCTCGCCTCACGTTTATGCGGCGCCACTAGATCCTTGTAGGTTACAGAGGCTACAGGACAGCAGGTCGCTGAGAGCCTCTTCCTTTTCCTCCGAGATGCTCTCCCCAGGCAGGAGTATGGGGGACCGTGTGCTTCAGATTCCCTCCCCTCCCCACACCTGCCCTAACAGGGTGGCCACTGACCCATCTCTCGCCATCTCAAGGGAGATGGACCCCATTACCTCTCCTGGCCTTTACTCTGACTGCCCAGGCTTCATACTCAGGACTGGCCTTGTCTCACCCATATGCTGCGTGTGTTAGCCAGGCCCCTGGGGACCAACTGGGTTGACAGACCCCGAGCAGCACAGGGGTGTGGCCCCTTGGACACTGCCTTTGCGTCCACAGCCAGACATCAGGAACCCTCAGGCGGCTCTGAGCATGGGATGCGACTCTCTATGGCCCTGCTGGGGATCTGGGGCTGAACTTCTCCAGAGTCAGGGGCCGTCGTTCTTGCCCCACTCTCTGTGGAGCCGAGCTGCTCCTCACCACAGTGAGCTGCGGAGGCCAGTGGCGTACCTGGAGCCTCTCACAGCTCCTCTGGGATGGGTGGTGCTGGGCCGGGTGCCATGGGGTGCCTCCTTCCTGGGGCAGCCGTGACAGTGCCTCTTCGGTCGCCGGGGCCTTGTGGGGCTGCCCTGGAGCCCGGCTGTCATGGCTATGGGCCAGGAGTTATGCTATGTCTGGCTTGGCCCACCTGCAGGATTCAAGGGCGTCTTCGCATTTAAGGCCCTTGTCAGGTAGCTGGGGCCATTCCCGTCCACCACCTCCACTTCAGGTGGCCCAGAGAAGAGCCTCCGGACCAGAGCAGCACTGATGAGCAGCCCACGCCCAGGCCTCTGGCTTCACGGGCCCCTGCGGTGTCTTTAAGTGGGTTTGGGCCTGTGCCTGAAGGGTTCCCCTTTACAGACCAAGCAGGTCAAGCCTCAGAGTCTTACCTGCTGGTTTGGGTATTTGTGTTTTGGGCAGAGCTTACTCCTGCCTCTGTGCTCAGGACCCCTTGGGGTTTCAGGGATGGAACCCATGTTCGCTGTGTTCAGGGCAAGCGCCCTCCCCACCGCCCTCTCTGGCCCCATGTTTTGACTTTGGCTTTGGTGCAGGCAGTGCTTCAGCTGCCCGTCGGCGGTCCCCTCAGCAGAGCTCTTCTGCCTTCAGAGCTCACGTTTGTTCCATGTTTATGGAGAGGCTGTGCAGGCAAGGCTGGGCTTCAGGAAGCTGCGTTTCCTCCTCCTCCCGTGGGCTGAACTGGCACCAGGTGGAGGACGTGGGCCTAGTGGGACCTGCCTGCCCAGCCCCATCAGCTCTTAGCTCTGTGAAGGCTCCTGCAGGAGGAACCTGGGGCCTAGGCGTGGCTCCTGGGTCAGCCTGGTTTCCTCAGGAAGATGCTGTGGCCCTGAGTCTCTCCCTGTTGCGTCCTGGTCAGCAGCAGGGGGCACCGAGCCCTGTGCTCCGGCCCATCAGTCACATGCCATTCCAGGACTTAGGTCTAGCCTCCAGCCATCAGCCGACCAGCCCTGCAGTGCCATGGCTGTTGGTCAGGCTGTCCTGTGGGGGGCTGGGCTGTTCCTTGTCTGGTTGCCCCCCACTGACCCCACTGCCCTGAGCAACCCAGAGGCCTCTGGGTGTTGGCTGCTGCTCTTTCTCCATCCCTGCCTCTCTGCAGCTCGGGGCAGGCCTGGGCAGACCCCTGACTGGGCTCTTGGCTTCTGCATTCTCTGAGGGTCCTATTCGTGTACTTGACATTTCTGTGTACAGTACTTGGAATGTGCAATTTTATTTTGAGACCTTATTAAGCGCTCTAGTCTAAGGGTTTAATTGTTACTGATAGCTAAGAGTATAATTACCTTGGTAAAATACCACGACTATTTTAAGCAATTGAAAATTGGCTTCCAGAACTGGGTGAACACAAACCATTTTCCTATTTGAAATGAAAGCTATTTCCAGTGTGCCCCTAATATTCTACAATATGGTTACAGATCGGGTTATTTATGGAACCTAAGCTGTAAAAGCTAACTTTTAGCAAGATATATTTTCAAAAATGAAAGCAAGCCCTCCCTCCCTGTCTTCTGTGATTCTGTCTGCCTCCGCAGACACTGATGTGCTCTTGGGGTCTGGGCTCTTCTCCCCCCCGCAGCCAGCTCGTGGGCTTGCTCTGGAGCTGTCTCTGGGGACATGGCCAGTGGTCTCTCCAAAGGCCAGGGACAGGGGGCCCTGGTGT